TAACTCTGCATCATCTGGGATTTTTTTGAAGCAGGAATTGTCCTTACCAGAGCCTGGTACCCCAGTATTAGAGAGATGTAGAGCTATTGGAGCAAGTCCAGTGAAGGGCCACAAAGATGATTAAGGGACTGTGCCATCTCTCACGTGAAGAGAGGCTGAGAGCTCTGGGACTGTTCAACCTGGAGAAAGGAAGGTTCAAGAGGATCTTTATCAATGCCGATAAATACCTGAAGGGAGAAGGCTAAGCTCAGACGTCCCAGTGACGGGACGAGAGGCAACAGGCTCAAACTGAAACGCCGGAAGGTCTGTCTGACTATAAGGAAAAACTTTTTTACTATGAGGGTGACTGAGCACTGGAACAGGTTGCCCAGCAAGGTTGTGGAGTCTCCATCCTTGGAGCTCCTCAAAAGTTGTCTGGACAGGGTCCTGGGCAACATACTCTAGGTCACCCTGCTTGAGCAGGGGGGTTGGACTAGGTGATCTCTAGAGGCCTCTTCCAACCTCAGCTGTTCTGTGATTCTGCGAGTCTTAACAGCAGGTCTCTACAGTACTTTAAACACAGCACCTAAAAACTGAGGCTAATGATTCTGAAAGTGTGAATTGTATGAATATTTAGCAACACGGAAGTAAAAAAAAAAAAAAAAAGACTATCTTTGCAAAAATATTTTAAAAATTAGATAAAAAGAGGAACTGAAAAAAATTACAAAACAGTTTCCCTCTAAATGAAAGAAAGAATAAAGGGAGTTATATTTAATAGACCATATGACATTTAAGAACGTGTGTGGAGCACAGTACTGAGAAACTGTCTGCATAGAACAACAGAAAAAGAATAGGTGTTCAAAAGCCGCTCAAAAACAAAAGCATTCAGGATTAATAAAACATTGCTCTAAAATATCTTCAACCCTGTCTATCCTAGGAAACTGGATCAATTACTGGACAGCTGTAGCATGCAGCCCCTGGGGACCCGTGCGAGGAGAGCAGAGCTGGTGATGGTGCCCGGGCACAGCAGGGAGAGCCTGCAGAGCCCGCTGGGGCAGAATCAAGGAAGTGCATTCCAGACCAAACTTGGCCTGCAGAAGAAATAAGTGCAAACACATGCTGTATTTGTCTTTATCGACTAATAGCTTTGCAGTGCTTTTTTATTTATGTGATCAACTCGTTTACCAATGTGTAAGGATTAGAAATCTACAGCAGCTATTGGTGCAATCTGAGGTGGAATCACTTCCTTCTGCTATCGAACACAAAGTTTAGCCTCAGGAGTGTCTGTAGAAAAATTAAGGTGGATTAGAGGGCTTGTATCCTCCTAAACTGCCAGTTCATCACATGTACATCGGATGTCCTGACCTGCAAGACAGCATGTAAACAATGTGCTGTTAGAATGATTAATAACAGCACTTGCTCTTTTGTCCAGGGTATGCAACATTGCTATTGCTGTGGTCTTTGAAGCTAATTTGAATGAGTTAATGAGCAATGCGAGCAGTGCTACTGGACAGTGAAAATACTGAATTTTACAGCCTCAGAGGAACCTGTTCGCTACATGTCTGGCTGTATTTCTCAGGATGGGATGGAGTGCCCTTCAGATGTGCCTGTCACTCTCCATTCACTATGGAATAAAGCTGAATGACAAATTTAGGTTTAATGGCCACTTTCAGACATCTAAAGATAGGTGAAAAAATCTCACCCATATATACACTTATCTGCCCACCAGGTTTTCATGGCATTCTCTTCACTCCTGCCACCCTCCCTTTGATTACAAACCACCTTTGTATTTAGAAGAAAGGAAAGCCAAATTAATCAGGTACAGCAAGCTGCTATTCATGAGGTGCTTGTTCCTTGCTCTAAAGGCACTGACACACATGGAAAAACAGAGAGCAATCACAACATCTGATTTAGTAGTCAAATTCAGAAATCTTGATAACAAAGCACAAACGTTTCCTAACTGACTACTTCCTGCAGAGATTAGGATAAAATATTACCTGACATGTTGCAAGACTCCCTAGGTCTATTCTTTCCGGTATTTCTTGCTGATCAACCTCATCTTCCTATTTATTGATTAGTCTCCCTCTAAGTGAGAATACGAGTAGAATATTTTCTGTACCTGATCATGTTTACATTTTCCCCATTGGGACTGCCCAGAACAATTGCTTAGAACTTATTTTTCAACTAGACTTAAAATGTGAATTTATTAGTATAGTTACTAGGCTTAAAAAGGGGCCCTCTCTTCTTTTCCTCGCTGTTAGAATAACCAATGACATAAAACTTCCGGGATCTTCAGCACTCATAAATTTGTCTTCCCCCTGAAGCATAAAGTTCCCAGTGCTGACAAGCCATTTTTTGCTTTTCAAAAAATTCTTCTTGATAAAAAGTTGGGCACAGTTATTCATATACACACACGCACACACACACGTATATATAACATGTATAAAACCGCACATAGTTAGACATATGAATATAACACACAGAGGACAGAATACACAGAGTAACAAAGTGCTTGAGGCTATGAAATGCTGTTAACATGCTTTAACTGAAACTCCAGCCCAGACCTCTTATCGGTGTTTCTTTGCTACCACACTGTGTGACGAGCTAGGCTACAGGCAGCAGTGTGCTGTACAGCCAGCTCCTGCTGATTTGGCCACAGCTTTCTCTACCAGCTGCTGTCAGTCCTCCCTGAACTTCTGATACACTGCAGATAATAAAACACGCATGGGATGGCAAGCCTTATGGGATGACCGAAGCATCAAACAAGGCTGTGCCTCGATAATACAACAGGCATTTGAGGAAGAAATCTGACTTCTGCTGGCAACATCACAGTGGTTGTTCCTCTAAACTCCATTGATGCTGGACCTTCAGACTCTCCTCCTGCAAACAACGCAAGAGGCTTCATGCTGGGGCTCCCCTGCCTTGTACCTCCTGCAGACTTCACCCACGGGGATACCAGCATGGACCTGGGCAGCACTGAATTTCTTGCTGTGACCCAAGGTGGTGGGGACACCTGCGGTTGGGTTGCTTGGGATCGCTGCTGGCGTTTCAGGGGTACCAGCTCCCCGCTGCTGGCGGGGGCATGCCAGCACCGCTGAGGAGGCGTATGGGAAGGGTTGGAGCAAGGCTGCCATGTTGGACCGGTTGAGCTGCCCCGGAGGAAGTGTACGGTGGGAACAAAGTACAGTGCCAGGGAAAAGGGCTGACTGGGTAAAACTCAGCCGTACGCCCCGAGCTGATGCTTCCTCTTCTTTTTACCTTTGTCCATTCACAAATGAAAGTGACTTTCCCAGACTACAGCAACTGCACTTCTGTAGCAAAACTTTGCCTCTTGTGCAGGTTGCTGGTTCACTGTCAAAGTTTAATCTGAAAACTCCAAATAAGCAAATACCAAACTGCTCCCGAGATTCTTGTTTATGGCTGGGAAGCAGCGTCAGCATATTTCTGCTGGGAACGAATTGCTTTTCTAATCCATTATTGTTTTATGGCAGCTGAAATTGCCTGACTTGGTGCCAACACATATGAACTACTAAACAGTTCTTTAATCTTGTTCTGCGGTCCATCCTTGGTTTTGAAATAAACTGCCAACTAAACAAAATTAGTTTCTTTGGATTGCTGATGGCGTATATATGTGGATTTTGAGAAAGGGAAGTGGGCATGGGAGGAAATCCAGAAATTGCAGAAAGAAAAGGAAAACATGCTGGGTTTAGTTTTTCTATAATACATGCACCAACACACCTGCTGAAACTCCTTTCCTTTCCTTGCAGGGGTCATCTGGGCTTGTCTGAGTGTGGCTGCAGCCTGGCTGGTTTCTGGAAAGCTCCTGGCTGTCCCTGGGGCCAGTGTCACCCATCACGTCCCCTCTTCTTCGCGTGCTGTGCTTCTCCCGGTCCCTCCTTAGGGGTATGCTTTATGTCCAGATGGGATAGCAGTGGTCACCCTGCGGCGGGCTGGTAGATCCTTGGCGCTCCCAGGGCACCCACAGGCTTTGCCCCGTGCCGTAAATCACGTCTTGCATTGCTTCTGTCCCCGCAGCTTACCGCACGCAGCTCCTTTGCCTCCAGGCCGACGGGACCCGGGAATACGACTCGGGAACAGCGGGAAGCAGCAGGCTGGTTGGTGGGTGCTCCCCGCGTTGTGCCGGACGTCCGCATTCACAAAGGCGAGCTCGAAGGAAGATTTGTTTCCTAATGCCCCAGGGCCTGAAAAGGTAGGGGAAACGTTTCTGCTCATTGATCCTCTGGACAAGAAGTTGAGCGCTGTGTCCACTGCAGGTGCAAGGGGTTTCACGACATTTTTAGCAGAGGGCTCTTGGCCCTCTCCCCACAGCTGTGTTGGGTGGCAGTACAGCTATCCGCATATTGACTGAGGAAGTGCCATTTTGGGAAGTGAGGATGACAAAGGTTAAGCGCTGCAGCCTGCATAACATGTCTGTGGCTTCTGGCAACTTTTTGTCAAGAGTAATTGCCATGAGTTGCTAAACTTTGCTGTCAAACTGGATCTTCAATCTTACCGCGCAGAGGGGATGCTTCTCTGGGTGTATTTCATAACCTGAGCGCTTGTTGCTACATTTGTGCGGTCAATGCAACGGCGCTCAAGGTACAGAACAATCTGCTTACAGTATCCAGGTCAGGACATCAGACTCGTTCCACCCAACACGTCCGAGCCCACAAAGCAAGGGCCGGAGTGGGCTCCTCCAGATCGCCCATGCCCAACGCGAGACGCGCACAGCGGACTACATGCTCATGCTCCTCACAGCCAGGGCCAACACGTTACCCATTTGCAGCATTTTCTCCTGCTCCCTTCTCCGATACAGCAGACCCAGCTCACCTGCAGACTAAGGGGCCTGCTGATGGCAGCCGTCTGGCCCGTCAGAGCAGAAGGGAGGCTGTGGCAGTATGGAGGAGGCATCAAGCAGAGCCCTCGCTCCTGAGCCTCTCTAGCAGGAGGCGGCGCAGTGCCCTACCCCTCGCTTAACTCGTGACCTAAGGTAATTCCTTCACCCTTACACGTGATCGGCCATGGTGCTCTTCCCTGACTTGGAAGAAGAGAAATTTGGGAGACTGTGTTTACTACTAGGCATCCACAGGTCTCCAACAAAAGGGAAATCTCTTTTAGTATCCTTGTGCTGAAATGTTAAAAAAAAAAAAGCGTCTTTTGGCAGATATGAAGGGTGCAAATTTTAATCTAAAAAAAGACTTTCAGAAAACAAAGAAGTAACTGCAAGCAGGGATGCTAGAGTCAACGTTGTTTTGCAAAGCGCTCGTAGCTTGTGCATGACAGTGGTATTATCATGACTCATTCCCTGGCTGCACTGACACCCATGCTGATGAACAGCTCTCACATTCATCCTCCCCGGGGTCTAATTAGGAGCAATTTTGAAGCAGTCAATCGCATGTGGCCTGCTGCCTGGAAACGCAGAATCAGGTTGGGATCTGGCTCGGCCTTGGGGACTTTTGGTCTTGGAAGTTCTCAGTTTTAGAATGAAAACGAGGGGCTGCATTACTATGGACCAGGAGATGGCCTTCGCTCTTTAACGTTCAGCCTTTTATAATTAACGCCGAACTGTAACATCTGTTTGGACCATCCACTTTTCCATTGTTTCTGTCTCACAGATTTTGGGGGAGGCTAGGTTTTTTTCCACGCTGGTTTAAGAAAAAAGGTGAAAGGTTTTGGAAAGCTTAACTAAACCCTGTTCAGCTGTTTGAGTTATTTCAGCAAGAAAATACTTCCCCCATATGTTCTTCCACTTAAGCAGCTGAGCTTGTAAATTCCTTCAGCTGCGCCGTTAACCACCCGGACTGCCTCAGTCCTGAAGCACATAGCTAGCAAGTACCGGAGAGCTTGAATGTTTTTCTTCTCTGCACTCCTATACTTCCTTTCCAACAGCTGCGGTATTTTTTCAACATCCTTCTTGCAACTGCCTTGATTTCGCAAAGAATTGCTTTTTGCCTGCGGTGTAGATGCCACTGCAGAAAGGAGAGAACCAGAAAGACGACGAGCCAGGGGAGTAACAAAAAAGAAACGCGTACCTCCCCGTCGGGGAATCGAACCCCGGTCTCCCGCGTGACAGGCGGGGATACTTACCACTATACTAACGAGGAACTGTAC